TCTGTTATACAGAGGTGTCCTTTATGTGGAGGTTATTTTATACAGTAAGAAATGTAATTGGTACACTAGGTGCTGTCCGTTAAATGGAGGTGTACGCTATAGAGAATGTCCATTAAGATAGGGCAGGAACTGATGTATAATGTATTGTATTATTATTAATAATAATAAATAAAGTAACAGTGTGTTAGGTATACATGTTAAAGTAATGATATTAGTATTGTGATAATTATTAGAGTATTATTATGTACAAGTATATCTATTATTATTATTATTATTATTTAGAATATGTTGTTGCTTCTTTTGCAATTGCGGCAGACTGGCCCTTTGTGAGTGTAATACTTGTAAGAGGCAAAATGATATTCACAGCAGGTTCCTAAATGCTATAGAAATACATCATCTATGTACATGTATATACATAGCTATACTTATAGATTCGTTCTACGTTAACTTACAATTATTTCAGCATTTCCTTCGCAGTCTTCGTGAGGGTAACAATAATATGTCCTAGCATCAATGACATGAGCAGTAATCATGAAGAGTGCAGCTGCAACAAGGACCATACGCTGGAATGAAGTCATCTTCAGTTTGATAGTAGTAGTATCTTTCTTTATCTCTTTATGATGTACTGATGATATACTGATATCCTTCAGCTACTTTATAGATACTGGCCTAGTGAGGACAATGGTGGCTTTGTTTGAATGTGTACACGTGACAGAAACATGTACATGTGATAGAAATGTGTTCAAGTTCGTATGCCTGTGGTTACTATTAACAGTCTGTGAGACTGCCAATGGAGTACGTGATTATTAGCAGTGCCAGACTTACACCTCCATTACTCTTAGCTAATGACTCATTCACCCAATAATGTATTACATGTGTATTCACAGTAATTATGTCCATATTCACTTCAATCTGTGGGAAACTGAGGTAACTTGATAAGTTCTAAAAACATGACGCAACCCTAATTATTGGAAGGAGCTTTTCAATATTCATTTGATGATTATACACTCCATCATTAGATTGCTGGATATTAAGATTTGTGCCCTTTGACTTCTATGGCCTAGCCTGTATAAGCAATAGATCAATCATAGTGAAAGGGTTTACTAATGAATACTGATCTATAGCATCAGGTACATGTATAACTGTGAACACAGGGACCTTATAATGGTTGGAGGATTTCTCTTCTAGCTTCCTTAATTACTTTTGCTGTTACTTAAGTATGTATATACTGTTAAGAAATAAAAGTTAAGATGCCAACCTTTTATTGGCAAGAGCTCTTCAATGTTCATTTGATGACATGCTGTATGAATAGATTACTAGATATTAAGATACTGGCCCATTTAGTTTTGTGGCCTGGTTTGAAAGCAATAGATCATCAAACAAAGCTGAATGGTTTTATAATATTGAATGTTGTCTTGACGCTTACTTGGTAATAAATACGTACTATATTCCTGCTAAGAATGAAGATGTAGTACTTGATAGAGTAACCAATAAAGAAGTAATAGATAAAGTAGTTAAATTAGTTTTGACTAAGAGCAGCTGTCATATAGTACTTTCTTTTAGTAAAGTTTATTGATATTCGTGTGTTTTTCCGCCTTACAGACACTATAGCATCAGTCACATAAGGTATCTAATGGCTGGGGGTCTCTACTGTTGGTATCTTTATAAGTATTACTGTATTAGATAAATGTGTTTGGCAATGATGATTAAAGTATTGATAATGATAATTAAAGTATTAAAGGGTAAGTTCAATGCATTTTTGAGGTATTTTTTTTATTTGCTTAATATGATTGCCTGACCATACTAATGATGTGTTCCAACTCCCATTGTCTGAAAAAAATTATTCA